GATAGAATAGAAACCGAATAGAGCAAGCTAGTGTTAGAGGCCTTTTTTTGCTTTTGTTAATTGTATAATAAATAGATAGAATACAAAAACATTAGAGAAGCTAGTGTTATTTATTTATTTATTATTTTTCAAGAAAACAAGCAGTTAGTAAATGAATAGAGTGCAAGTCTAAAGGGGCAATTTTATTTTAAATAATAGAATTAGAATAGAGGGTGCTAGAGTTTGAGGGTCAAATAAAGATGGAAGAGATGTGTTTTTAGCTGATTCTTGAAGATGGCTAAGGACTCAGCTGCTCTGACTGAGCTGGGCAGGTCATTCCACCAGGAGGGAACAGTTAATTTAAAAGTCCGTGAAAGTGATTTTGTGCCTCTTTGGGATGGCACAATAAAGCGACGTTCACTTGAAGAACGCAAGCTTCTAGAGGCACATACGTCTGAAGTAATGAATTTAGGTAAAGGGGTGCAGAGCCAGTGGTGGTTTTGTAGGCAATGCAGCTATTGGTAGCCAGTGCAGATTGATAAATAGAGATAACTTAAATTGATAAACAGGGATAAATGATCCCTGTAATTGCCAAAAAAAAACGCCCAAAAAAAACCCTGAAACAGCTTCTGTGGAGATGAACACAATGCAGATTGCGACCAATGTCAAGCATTGTAGAGACATTTTTGTTATACGAAGGACACGTTAATGCACTTTTATCCAGTATTTCTCAGAATGTCTTTTACACACCCAAGACACAAACAGAAACCGCAAACATCGTGTTGATCTCCATTATAACCAAGAAGCTCCCTACACTGTGCAGTGAATCTCATTTATATCGTGTGTACATTGTTTCAATGAGAGGATCGCAATCAGAGGTGTTTGAGAAATCAACAGATATGTCTGTGATTGGCTACACTGTGCTCAACGGTACAAAAACCCGAACTAGGAACTGTCGATGCTCTCCAGATAAACACAAACACACACTGAAGAGTTGCCAAATCTGATTTGCTAATATCATATTATTACAGTTTTAACTGAGGGCTCTTTTCTCTGCGTGCAAAACTGACGTGTGGCGTGAGAACAGTGTCAGCTGTGAATCTCACTGCATGCTGTTTGCAGCCTTTATTTGATTGGTCTGCATAATCACTGACATCTTTAGTTGATGATTCTGCATAACCGCCAGCTCCCTGAATGCAAACTTTCTGTTCTCTTTTCTGTGAATGGAAGTTATTTCTGTCTCCTCGAGCTGGTTGTGAAAAGGTTCTGGAGCATTTGCTGTTTTCAGAGGAGCAATGAGCTGCCAATACAGTTTTTTATTTTTATTCCTCTGTGGCTTTGCTGCGC